TTTGAGAGTCGGCTCTATACTTATCCTTGCTGTTTGATCGCGTGTCAAAGTAGGCTTTATGTCGCTACTATTACATGTTGCCACGATCGTTTGTTACGGAATACATAGTTATTACATTGCGTATGCTCGGCATGCTAATACATTTAAGCTAATAACAGTTTCCTCGAGATTCAATAAAATCAGAAAGTCCCATTTGCGCATGGGATAACGATTGTTCGCCACCGCGATTCATCATTATGTCACATTTGCGATAATTATACGTATAAAGTGTTGCGAACTGCGCTTAAGACACCTAATCTATCTGTTCGTTAGAGCGCATCTTTAAATCTTCCTTCTGTCGGTGTAATATTTCCCATCAATGTGTGGGTATTAAAACTAATTTTGTGGGCCACAAAGCAAGTTTCGTGGGTAGTAAAACACTTGTTTAGACAAACTGTGTGCAGACTTTTTTTCTACACGTGTTGGAGTTTTCTTGCACATCTAGAATTCCTGAAACGTTCTTCTACATATGCTTAAGCGCAAGAATCTTTTGTATTATATTTCGTTTCCAGCTGAGAACATATCGAATTTACGTGATTTGTGTGTGTCAAAAAGTCCAATTAGGAGATTTACGATATGAAAGGCTAGAATTGCATCTTGCAATAAAATAATAAGACGGTTCGAATAACAATGAAGGGAAAAAATGCTGAATAGGAACGATGCTGTATGGAAAACTAGATGTATACAACGCAGCATCACGCTTGGACGCGTCTCCTCGAATTCTCCGACCCTGGGAAAACGACCTGAAATTATTATCCAACTTTGTGAGAGCAACAAGTGTCGTTAAATCAACTCTCCGCGTTGCCTATCTGTGTATCTGCACGCACACGAGATATTTAAAGAAATGTCATCTGAGGGAGAGAGCCATTGTCACTTTATGCACGCCCTCGTTTTTCTCCCTAATTTAGAAGCCTTAAATTAAATTAAATTTGACCTAAAATTATCTGAAAAAAAATATTTCCAATAGCCTAAAACTCAAGAAACCTCATGTCATCTAAGGGAGGGAGTCACTGTCATTTTATACACGCCTTCATTTTTCATAACAATAAGCCTAAATTAAATTATATTAAATTAAATTCGACCTAAAATTATCTGAAAAAAGAAAAAAAAATTATTTCCACTAGCTTAAAACTCGAAAGTTATCGGTAACCCCAAGAAATCCCATGTCATCTAAGGGAGGGAGTCACTGTCATTTTATACACGCCTTCGTTTTTCATAACTATAGCCTAATATTAAATTAAATTCGACCTAAAATTATCTGAAAAGAAAAAAAAAATATTTCCAGTGGCTTAAAACTCGAAAGTTATTAGTGCCTTGACATTTCCACAACCCCAAGAACCCTTCAAGTCATTGTTATTTTGCACGCCCTCGTTTTTTAGAACAGCAAGCCTAGAATTAAATTACATTCAATTTAATTATAGCCTAATTATATTAAATTAAATTCGATTTAAAATTACCTAAAAAAAAAAAAAAAAAATTATTTCTAGTGACTTAAAACTCAAAAATTTGCCATTAACGATCCGATAAATCCGGAACGCCCTGTACAAATTCTCTACAATTATCCCCTTCCCAGTATCGTACAACGTTATCATTATCACGAATAAAGAAAAAACCAATTTTCGCTGCACTCTCTTCATCAAACCTCGCGGAAAGTCTCCGAGGGAGCAAAACAAGTAAGCGATCGGCGTTAAATAACGAACGCGACGAGCTTCGCGCCTCGAGCTCTCCGTGTGTGTTTCTCAGCCAAAGGGGGGGCGTGAAACACACTTGAAAATCCCGGTTATGTAAAACATAGGAAAACGGGCCTCCGGGAGAAGGAGGACTCGCGTCGCGTCGCGTCGCCTCTGCGCGTCGGGACGACGTTAGGTGGAACGCGTAATTGAAAGCACTTTAGAGACCCTAGCGCGGCGGCACGCACAACGAGCTACTCGCATTTGCATTCAGTGGCGGAGGGAATGCCTTTTAACCGAAATGACTGCGTGTGTATGACAAACGCCGCGGTTTATGTGCCGGAACGATGGGAATATTTATTGGCGCGAATTAATGTCTCTCCACTCGTCCATAGATATATATATATATATGTATGTATATTACGTATATATGTACAATATAGATATGTGTGTGTGTGTGTGTGCATATATTTTTTTTATCGGAGCATTTTGGGAGGAGAGGGCGAAAAATCATTCGCGGATTTACGGAGCGATTTTTAACGCATGATTCGGCATATACTAGTAATTAAAATGACTCGTTTCGCGGATGGTTAATTAAAGATTGGATATAAAAATAGTAGTCGGAGGTATCGTTCGTTCAGAAAATGGCTGCGATTGACGAGAACTTTTACGTGGTAGAGAACAAAAATATTTAAGTTTTGGATTTTCGCACTTAATTTATTTTCATAATGGAGTGATCGATTTTTATATCGGTGGTTAGAATTTTATTTTAATTAGCGATGTGATTGAATGATTGTTTCTCACGTTTCTTATTTTTTATGAGTTGCAATTTTGATGTAAATGTTGTAATGCAGTAAAAATTTAATTTTATACGGGATACGAAAGATGACAATGCGGGATGATCGAATTGGAAAACACAGAAATTTGATTGTGCAATGTATCTATATATCGATATCTATAATAATATAAAGTATTCCTTAGATTATTATCGCAACACATTATATACATTACAGAGTTCACGATAATTCATTAACTCGTCGTCGACCATTTTTATATACATTTAGCTTTATAGAAAGAGAGAGAAAAGAAATGCGTTTCAGTCTCAGAGAAATCAAAAAATTAAGAAACGTGAAAAAAAAATAAACAATCCTCAAATTATACCGCTTCGCTTGTCTCTTCGTTTCATTACAAGAATAATTGATATGTATACAGAATCGCTTGCTAAAATAAGGTGTTTCTTTTTACGCAAAAAAAGATTCAAATCGCATACGCCAGCTCCATGTATAACTATTTTTAATTTAATCTTAAACAGAGATATTAAAGAGAGAATGTTACAAACATATCACGGAAAAAAATGGAAAATGGCAAAAAACAGCAAGAATTGTAGTATGTCGATAATTTGCGCAATGAAATTTTTTATAATGATTAACGAATAATAAATATATATATAAAAATAAAAATATGAAAAATAAAAATATATTTTTTTAAATATATATATATATATAGAACATATTAACCATATATATATATTTATATATATATATATATATTACAATATATATATTTCAAAAAATATTCTATTGCATATCTTTTTCATATTTTATTAAATATACGTTAAGTGTGTTAATTATACGTACTAAATAAAAAATATGCATTAATATATGTAATATGTTTCTCTCATGCTTTCATGTATTATTTTTATTGCCGAATATATATTTTTTTATAGAAAAAGAACAAACTACTAGAGTCAAATCAAGAAGAAATAAATTAATTGTGTTCTCGAAAGTGCTAAATATGCATATTTTTGCAAAATACACAACGCTAATTATTTTTACGTAAAATATTAAATGAACAAGGAATAGTCAACACGGAGCATCGCGTATTCCACTTAAATCTTCCGCATCGAACTCTCATTTTGGCAGCTCGTTCGCAGCGTAGAAATAATACTATCTTTTTTAGCACGAAACACTGAAGGAAAATTATCTAATTAAAAATATTAATTATTAAAATTAAAAATTAAAGACCCTGTATCATTTTTTAAGTACTCGCACGACAGAAAGTCATTCAAAATTATTCTATATTTTTTGCCAAATGGACTCGAAGATTTTTCAATTATAGATTTCGTTTAAAGCAAAAAAACTGTCTTTATTAATAAAAGTGTGTGCACGAACAGAAATTACTTGTGTTTAATTGACCGCAGTCGAGTACTTAAGAATTACATTTCAAGTTGTTCCTCATAAATCGTTCGATCGGTCAGACGCAATAAAATGAAATCGTGCGATAATTAATTATGTCGAGATTACATGCAAAGAATCTTGATCACAAGTATAAATTATAATAGCATATGCGGTGTGAGAGGTTTCGACTGGAAAGAGTTAGGCTGTAAAATAGGGTATTGATAATGAGACGAAGGATTATAGTGAGACACTAAAATATTGTCACTTTATTACTTAAAGTATAAATACAAAATAATAAGGAAAACTAAATAATAATACTACGTAACGCGCCTTGTAATAAAGGTACGATATAATAATGATATTAAAAATAATAATTATAATAATAATAATAATAATCGAAATAATGATATATAATAAGAAGATTTTAATCTTAAAGTACGTGTAATTGCGATATGTAATCTCATCCGAAGCTATCTAAATCTCCAAATCTCACATCGTGAATAAGTGTTGGAAAAATGAAATCAATCGTCAAATCCTGAAGGCCGTCAATTCCTGAAAAATTTGATTCGATTTTCCCGACACTTTTGCGTCGAATAAGATTACGTATCACGGAAAGATGCGCGTATACGTGTGTTACATATATATGTATACACATATATGTATATCTATATATATATATATATACATATAATTTACAAATATATACAATATCGCACTTAAATCTAATTCTCCTTCAGTTGAATCACGGTTCAAATTTTAATTTAAATATCAAATGTACAAATACAATATTAATATGGTGTTTCCATACGCGTGTCTAGGAGCAAAGTCAAAGTCAAGTCAAATGTGACAAAAACTGAAAGTCGCGATAACTAAGCAGTACAACACTTTGGATTACAATTTTCATTATATTCATCACATTATATATATTTCGTCTTATTATTCAAATTTGATTACGTGTAACAAGACTACTTTACATAATAGTTCTCTTATTATTACACTTATTATAAGAAGTTACACGTAGACGAAATAAAGAAAGAAAATTAGAATCATTATATACATATATACGATAATAATTTAATGCGAGGAATATAATAATTACTGTAATTTATTGTAATCCGCAAAATAAATGTATATGAGATAAAATATCTAAAATAATTTTGTACGCCTAAGAATTGAATATAACGTGACGAAATATAATGTGGAATATAATAATGTAAATATAAAAGTGTTGTACCACTTAGTTATCACAATTAAAAAAGTAGGACTAAAAAAATTCAAAAAAATTCATAATTTTTGTTATATTCTGTCACGATATTCAATTCTGATTACGCATACAAAATTGCTTTAGATATATTTTTCACACCCTCTGTGGATTATATACACATATATATACACGCGGAATAAAGGAGAAGATCGGAATTGATATGTACACACGACGCGTCATCGAAAATTAATGTCAACACTTATTAATAATTTGCAATATATATATATATATATATATAACAAATTGTTTACGTATATATATTTGCAACAATATTTTATAATCTATTTAATACTCTTATACGTAAAAAGAAGTACACTACCAAAAAGTTTAAGACCAAAAAATAATGCAAACTGTTCTCACTTTTACGATCTTCTAGCAGCTGTTAATAAAACAAGAAACATTCAGCGGAATGTTTCAGCTTGTGATTTTTCCATTTATTACTTTGATCTTAAACTTTTGATGGTAGCGTATATTAGCAATTATTACACAAAAATGACATCACATATTGTAAATTATTCACATACGCACGTTTCCACCTTTTTGCTTATCTCTCTCCTCGGAACGCAGCACAATAAAATGTTTTTTTTTTAATCCAGCACGGTGGAAATAACGGAGAAGAACACGAAGGAACGACGTCGACGTTCAAGTTTCGCACGATCTCGAGTTATAGAATAATCATCTCGTTGTCATCGCTCGACACCGAATAAGCGTAGGAAAAAGTCATATCTACATCGATCGGCGAGAAGTGAAATGCGTAGTCGCGCTTCCGGGATCCAAAATGGAGTCGAATCGAGGTGGATGTCTATCTAGCTGGAATTCTTTGGTAACGTCGCAATTTCAAACGCGTTCGCAAACATCGACGGCGCCTTCGAAAACTCGCAAGCCGCGAGTTGTGTGTCTCCTCCGGGTTGGATCCTCCCTATAAGCGAATAGGGATCGATGGCGATGATGACGCAGTACGTGGACGAGGATGGATGATGATCGAGAGAACTTTTATTCTCCGTGCGATGTGAAGGCTCGGTCTGCAGTACCGAGAGGTCGATTTGGTCTCGCCTCTTCTCTCTCTCTGTCTCTCTATCTCGCTCTCTGTCTCTCTCGTAGCTCGGAAATTGCCCTCGGAATCGTCCTTTATTTTTTGTATTTATTTTTTGATTAAGCGTGCCAGATCTAGCGCACGCTTTTGTGCCCACCCTCTTACCCTCTCAGTTGCCTGAGCGTTCCGATTCCTAAAGGCCTCCGTCCAAGTTTGCTTCTTTTTAAGCTACGATATTCCTACGAGGTGATGTTTTACATGTTAGGTTGCAGATCACAGATGTGAGGAAAACGTTAAGTTTCTAGCTTTCTCGCTAGTCCGTTCTTTCGGTAGATTTGCGAGGAAATAGGATGAGTCAGATGAAACCTTCGTGTTTAATCAGCGAGTCTGATAAAAAAAGCGAAACGCTATATGTTTGATAATATGCGAGACGAAATATGAAAAATTGTCGAAAAGTCTGAGAAAACTTGTGTGACAAGTTGAAAAAAAAATGATTTAAATAATAAATTCGAATGGTTTTTTTTGACTCAACCTATATCGATTCATTTTAATTAAACTTAACGTCAGATACGTCTACGAGATTTAAAAATACGCATCTTTAACAGGTACAACGAAATAGAAAGAAATAATATAGAAAAGAACTAATTTCTTTTGAGAGAAAAAATAATTTTAACGTCAAATTATAAACATATGGTATCGTGAACTCTGCTCTGGACCCTACGTTAAGAAAAATAAATAATAATAACGTTTAAATTTCGAAATCTATATCATTTATTTCACATAAATAACGAAACTTAGACGTCTAAAATAGAGTAATAGAAATTAACAGAAGGGAATGAAAATGATGTACAAAACTGAAACTGATCACACAATCAAATGAAAACAAATGTGTAATTTCCGTGAAAATTCTTGCGAAAAATTGTACAAATTCGCCGTATTCTCGTGTGATGGATAAAAAAAGTTGAACTAAAAAAAAAAAAGTCACAGTGCGAAAAACGATAATTCGCACTTGAGAAAATTCAATTTAAACTTTTGACGATTTATGACGAGAAAATATTTCAACGTAGACAAAAGAAGTGCGTTTAAGAGCTTGTTTAAACGATTTTCGATTAAATGCGAACTGTGTAATAGCGCTGTAAACCCCCACATATATTGTAAACCCGCGCTGCAAACGTATATAAACCTCTTATGCTCGAAATACCTATAAAACATAAGCCATATCCCGTCTTCTATCGATTCGATAGTTCGATATAACTATTGAAGTTTTTTCAAACAAATCTTTTGGAAGCAAATCCTGCATCAAGTCGCTCAAAGCTCAAAGGGGGATGACGATTAAAAAAATAAATAAATAAAAAATTCGTAAAAAGAAAACAAAAACAAAAGTTTGTGAAAAATATATGAATGAGGGATTAGATGTAACAAGTGTTTTCTTTTATATAGTATAAACACTGGATTTAAGAATTTCAATGCACCCCCCCTAAGTATGAATCGAAAACTTACATTTAGCGATTATTATTCTCGAATAGTTATTATTCCGGTGAAATTCATAATTGCTAGTTTCGTTTAATCAAGCGCGCCTTCGACGCGCAAATCGTCAGTTCAGGCTTCCTCCTCCGTCGTCGATTCAAGATATATACGTCGGTCTATAATTTTCTAGCGCAACCAGCGTCTTGCGAGTTCACCTCACTAACTCTCGAAATTGCGATAATCGAGGGTATATATGCGAATATATATATATATATATATTTATATATATATATTTGTCGCGTGTATTATTTCGATTAGAAACGCAGAAACGAGCCAACTTTTTGTAGTTCGTCGTTCTTTTTTTAGTAGTTAATTGGAGCGTGATATGACAGAGAGGGTCCAGAAGCATTGTCACGATAGCATATGCGATTATTATCGTCTGCGACAGAGAATCGTGAGTGTTCGCGTTATAAAATGTGAGAGTCATAACCCGAAGGGGAAGAGAGATATAGATACAGTTATATTTATATACATGACATTTCGTTTCCATCAGTCGTTCGGCGAGAAAATAATAAATATTGAACGGAACATTACACTCTTATAATGCGACACACTCACGAATTAATGCGTGTAGAGAATACATAGGAGATCCTTATCTCGACAATTCGAGTGTGTAATAAAACAGTTTAATGTACTTGAGAAATTAATCGCAAAGAGTAAAGTAGCTTGATTTTACTCCGGGCCGATAAAACTTTTCTTATGCGTGTTTTCTCATATTCTTTCGTGTGTTGAATCATTATCAAACATTTATCTCAATATGATGTAATGAGAAAACTTCATTTCGCTCTTTTTCCATCGTATAATATTGAAGAAAACGATTTAATGATTCAGAACTGCCAAAAATATAGAAAAAATATGCATAAGAAAACTTTTATCGTCAAGATCAAGTTCCTTTATTCATCGTTCTTTGTAATGACAAGAAATTATTAAGAACGAGCCGGCCGAAGGACTCTAAGATTTGTAATTTATAAGTAACAATGTGACACGGCAATTTATAAAAATGTAGATACAAAGGCGGATCTCCTGCGAGTTTCTGAAACGCTCGAGTCGAATTTCGCGAAGATTGATAATCTGCGAACGGTATTGACGAAGATTATCGATAATTCTCGTTATTCGAGTGAGCGTCGGGTGCAACATCAGCATCGTCGAATCGGGATAAACTGCATTACATTTTGGAAAACTTTGTGTCAAGAACTCGATATTAGAAGATTGACGTCGCGAGTCGACGCGCAAAATATTTTTTCTTTTTCGGTTATCGGATATCGTCCACGAGGCTTTCAACGACCCAAAACATTCCTTTCCGATAAAATGTAAATATTATGTTTCGTTTCTGTAGTGAGATATTTCCGAGAGAGTCTATCCACGGGAATTATAAATGGAGACGTTATTATTGAGACATTTCTGATTGAATATTTCTGAATATAAATATGAATAGGAATAATAAATATAAAAATAAATATCTCGAATTGGATGTTAATTTTCTCGACTAGATTTTATTTCTTAAATTTCCTGCACAAAGTGCCGAGAGACACACAGATATCGCAGTTTATCCCGCTTCTTCGACTCTAAGAAGCGACTCGCAAGCAAACGTAGGCGAGAGGAAGAGTGTTGTTGCGTGTTGAATGTTGCGAGTGATAGAAGAAAGATGAAGAAAGAGGCAAGAAAGAGAGAAAAGGAATCTGTCTTCTCTTTCTTTAAATGTCTTATTTCTCATAAGATAGCTTACATGTGTGCGAGCGGCTGTATGTGAGCGACCGAGTGGTGTTGCACCAGAGAGTCAGACGGTCCTGGTGAGTAAACGCCCGCGCCGTGAGGTATTCCAGGCTCGGTCGTACCGTGCGGTAGATACAACGAGAGCATGTTCCTTAGGTCGCTCTGCGACGTCGGCTGATTCGTCGGCTGCTGGACCATGTACTCCCGTTTGACGGCCGCTTGTGCGACCTGTGCAGCTTGTGCAGCTTGCGCGGCTTGCGCGGCGATCGCTGTTGGGATTGTGGCCGGAACCTGACCGGTCGTAGACGTCGGGGTGTGCATGCCGGCGCTGTTCGGGCTCTGCGGCTCGGACTTCACCTCGCTCTGGTCGCTGGGACTGGTGGTCGTCGGCTGGGCCTGGTGATAGGACGACGGCGAATTGTTGGAAACGGCAGCCCCATATCCACCGTAGCCGTTCATGTAGTTGTTGATGGGGCTGGAACTGCCGCCGCCCATGTGATGGCCCATGGGGTCGTACCTGGGGTAACCGGCGGCCGAGGCCGTGGCACCGGCCATGTGTCCGCCGTACGCGACGTGCTGCTGGTACGCGGTCGTCGGGTCGTGCATCATGTACCCGTTCGGCATGTACCCGTTGGACATTTGGTAGACGTCGCGGGACAATTGGGACTGCTGGGGTCCGCCGCTGGCGCCTACTTGTCGCTGGTCGACGAGCATGCCGCCGACACCTGGTACTCCGCCTCCGAGCGGGAACTTTTCCTTCTTCAGGAGCGTCTTGGTCTTGCGTCGCGGCCGGTACTTATAATCAGGGTGCTCTTTCATGTGCACCGCGCGCAGCCGCTTCGCCTCGTCGATGAACGGGCGCTTCTCCGTCTCGCTAAGGAGCTTCCACTCAGCTCCAAGGCGCTTGGAGATCTCCGAATTGTGCATCTTCGGATTCTCCTGGGCCATCTTGCGCCGCTGACCCCGGGACCACACCATGAAAGCGTTCATCGGCCTTTTCACGCGGTCCATATTGTTGTTCTTCGCGTTGGCCGAGTTGCTGGGGTTATTGGGGTTGTTGGGGTTGCTGTGGTTGTTGGGCTGGTGGTGCTGCTGGGACTGTGTCTGTTGTTGCTGCTGCTGCTGATGGGAGTGGTGCTGCTGCTGCTGTTGCTGCACGCTCTGTTGCGCCGTCATTGCGTGCATGCTCTGTTGTTGACTCGCGGCGGCGACGGCGGCCGCTTGCATCGAGTTATAATGATGCTGCGAGGTCTGATGGTGATGTTGAAGTCCCAGGCCTAGGCCGCCCGAGCTGGGGGGACTTCCCGATAACGCCGGACTGTGGACCAGCGAGCCGATGGTGCCGTAAGGATTCATGGCGTGATGACCCATCGGCGAGACACCCTGGTGCGGATGTGGTGGCATCTGAGCGTGCAGACTGCCGCCCTTCGTGTCCATATCCATCGTGAGCATGTCTTCCTCCCTGTGCCCGTACAGTTTGCCGCCCTTTTCTGGTACCGGCTACGTCAGGAAAATCAACGGAACACGCCGAGAAATCGTCAAGTCGATGACCGCGACTGATTAATCCGGACCGATTAATCGGAAAACGCCACTGGTCACTGCTTCCTCAGCGTCCTCTTTGCGCGAAGCGATGACATGAAAATCGACTGTACAATAAGTCGCCAATCACTAGACCTTTCCGTCAGTGGCGAGTCCTGATGCCGCGTATACACACGTTTCTCCGATCAATCGATTACACTATCGCGTGGGCGCACTGGTCGTACAACGTGCCGACTATGAACACGCATTCCGATACGAGATGTACGTATATGTACGACGACCTCTGTTCTGCGCAACGCTGGAACGTTCACGAAGCGATCAACCCCGATCTGCGAACACGATCCCAATAGGTAACACTACTCACAATTGTCATACTATTGATATCATCTTCAACGATGCGTGATCGGTTCTTTCTCCACAGTGTTTTTTTTTTTGCTTCCTTTTGCAGGTTCTGAAGAGATCTTCGTACGATCTGTAAGTTGCAGAGTCCGAGCAAGAACTGACGACACTATCACTTTCTTCCCCTCACTTGCTCCGTCTCTCACCACTTCTGTACCGTTCACCAGACGCTCTCTGACTGGCTACGAGCCACGGCACGCTCGACGAATCGCGTTACGACAATGTGGCAACGACGCGTCAGCAAAACACACAGATGCTCCGGCGCGGCGGTCTCCTTTGAAATTCAACCAACGATGGCACCTAAACGTGCGATATATTATATAATATATCAGAGGAGCCAAAATACACCGAAACCCGGCGAAGACCAGCGAAACCGGAGTCGTAGAAGTCACTGATCACGAACACTGCTTTTGCCTTCTGGAGAGAACCCTGCGAGTTCCTCGTACGAGTGTAGCTGCAAGTAAGTATACAAGCTTCTTCGTGTGTAGACTTTGCCCTGTAGCACGTGTCTGCGAGCCTCTATTTTTGTCCGTAGTCTCTTTCCCTTCTTCGTTCTACCACGATGTAGTAGTACGTTAACGAAAACGAAGAACAACCGATGCAGAAGAAAGAAGAACACCTCTACTCTCTACGAGCGACCGAAACTGTCTGAATTCTGAATACCATTCCGCTTCAGGTCGAAGGCTCACTTCCTGCCTAGGGGTCCCCTTTCCCCCGGGTTTCGAGCTTCCCCTTCCCCAGCCAACACTTTGCTGAGGGATAGAGCGGGGACCATACCCGACCGACAGACCAAACTACGTCGGGCAATCGATTGGCAAGCGCGCCTGCCATCATTTCTCTCGGCCAATCGGCCGCCGAGCTGGCTTACCACGAAGGGCGGCGCTATTGCGCTGTGCGACGTCACGCGACGTAAAAGACCGACCTCTCGCGGCGTAGCTTCCCCGTCATCTCGCTCCCCTACCCTCGTTTTTCACCCCCTTCCGCGCCCTTCCATCTCTCTTGCGCCTCTCGCGCGTTGTTCACTCCTTCCGTTCGCCTCTCTAGCCCCTGCTGCGTCCGTCCTGCCTGCACCAGCGACGTCTCTCCTCGCTTTTTCGCGCCGCGAAATCGGCTACCCGTCGGACGCATATACCGCTACGCGCGCCGAGCAACGCTGGTACGTAGGTATATACATACGTGTGTCCGCCAGCCTTAATACACGCGATACGTACGTGTATATACATCGATCTTAATGCGTTAAGTTACGTTTGATACGTGCGCGACAATGATCCGATATGGTTCTGGGAAATTTATAAGAACTCGCGGGAAAACTATGAGAGAAGAGGATACCCGGAACCTCTCTTTCAGCTCGGCTTAAAAATTGTAGAACGGTGCAGAATAACTTGTTTCGGAGAAACTGTAATTAATGGAATTTTTAAAAACGAATCATGTTTGTTTATGGAGTAAATTGTAAATAGATGTTATTTTGTATGTGTCAATTGATTACCAATTCAAACTCTGTCCCATGTAAACAAATGTGTATATACAGGTTTTAGTCAAAGATATACTGTCATTTAGGTATTGATTTATGTAGACGTTTGATAGATGCGTAACATTGCCAATTTTACGAATTCTACAGAAACAATTAGATATGTTTTTTATTCGCAAAACACGATTTTTCCTGTTATTGTGTCGATCAGATAGCGCTGCAAGATAAGAGAGATTATCGAGATAGCGGACAAATGCGATCGATGCAATAAGTTGCAATAAGACGTCAAAGATTCGTTCCTCAAGGACGGATTGCGAAATGATAATCGTCGCGACGCGATCAATGAACTCGCAAATATTCGACAGAATGAAAATAAAATTGTAGTCAAAGTAAACATAAATAAATCAATGTAATTGTTCGACAGAAAGATATATGGTAATTTACAAAAGTCTTGAAATAAATATAAATTATCCTGAAAAAAGGCATGTATTTTTCAACATCACGCGCGCATGTATGCAGCATGTGTGGTCGATTTTCGGGAGGTCGACGTCTCCTCTTATTGATATCGGGCGGGTCGCTGACGCACTAAATGCAGCCTGCATTTATCTATCACGCGTACTTCCGCCACGAATCAGCTTGTCTCGCGCGTCTCCTCTCCTTTTCGCGCGTCTCGCGGCAACAGGTTCCACAACACAGGGAGCATGCTGAAACGAAGTCACGACTCCCAAAAAGAGGCTTTTCCCGAGACGACTTCGTGGACCTTTCTTTTGTGCATTTCAGTGGTCGACCGCCGAGGCGAGATGAGGGGAAACGAAACAACGGAAGCCATTTACTGCAAATTCCTCTTTTAAATGGCACTATAAAGTGTATCGAATGTAAAATTGCAGGATTCGCGTATATTATCGAACGGCTCTATAAATACAGAATGCTTTTTTTCGCGACTGTAAAGCTAATATGGGAAAATACGTTTAAAAAGAAAAAAGTGATTCGTGACGCCTGTTAACTTTCGACAAAGAAAAAAAACCTAATTGATAAGATATCGATGACGCATGGCGAATCCAGTAATAGCATCAGACGGGAATTACGCGTTACGTTTTCCGCTTAATCTGTGATATATTCGCAGTCGTATCTGTCATTTATATGTAACTTGAAAAATAAAGAGAAAATTCGTTCTGCATTTTTGCATTCTGACAAATAATCGTTAGAGATAAATGCTGAAGAGACGAACACTTCGGATAAAAGTAAGAATAAATAATTCGCAATTTAAAAAATAGAATGCAATTTTTCAGTTTATCTCGTTATCCGAAAATCTTTTTTCTACTTTCAATCCCAGTTTTCAATCTGACATCTACCTTAAGCACGGTCAGGTTCTTTGGAACAATATTTAATAAGCTTTTAACTCTTTAGTGCCTTCTTTCTTCGCTTTAGATTAATCTTAAAACGCATCAATCTATAATTTAAATTGTTTTATCGCGCCCGTTCAATTAATCAATCTTGGGATTAACAAATAAAGTTGTAAATATTTAAAAATCGCCAGAAATCCAATATAACGGCAGCATTTATATAGCAGCGAAATCTGAGTCTCGGACTTGAAGGGTTAAAGCTCTGTTACTCGTTTAAATATGAAATAGGAGAGCTGGATTTAAACCTGCAGAAATGATCGAAGAACTGAAACTGAAGATGGAAGCAAAAAATCCGCACACCTCCGATTCGCGTAATCGCGAGACTAAAGGTCTCTTCTCCTGGTTCCCGGAGAACACGTCGCGGTCGGAATGAATGAACGTGCGCGCGGCCCGAAGGAGATCGATCGTGGGCCGTTCAGGATTCTGGTTTTCGAGTGCGTCTCTATGCCAGGACGCACAATGAGCTTTCTCATGTCGCACGGTGGATGCGCACACTCGTGCACCACGTATGCACGCGATAGGATAGATAGCTCTATATATACATACATGCACGCTCGTGCGTGCGTAAGTGTGTGTCATTTCGTGTGTACGTATATATATAGTATACACACTGCTGAGAGAGAGAGAGAGAGCCTAGGAAAGCTCGGTGCCACAAAGGCAGTGCGCCATCGAGTATCGCAAACATTGATTTGAATCACAAAGACCGCCCGCGGTATCCCATTGTCAGACTCCGACTTATTGTACGCTGTCTCTCTCTCTCTCTCTCCCTCTCTCTCTCTAGCTCTTTTTCTATTTTTCCTTTACCCTTGGCTTTCTCTCTATGTGTATCGCGCGATTTGCGCTCTACCTTTTTTCAACGGTAACGACGTATCAATCCACTTATTCCGCACGGTTTATGTGCCACTTGTAGCGTTTCGGCCTAACGCCGCTGTTGTTGCCCGCCAATTTTTGCGGATCGCACGTCGCAAGCCTATTGTCAGCTTAATCTGTAGCTTATTACACGTCGTAAGAATGTATGGAAAAGTTTGCGCACCGGGTTGTCGCGCGCGACGACGAGCCTATTATAAAAAGAACACAAATCCGTAATCTTTGAAAAGGATGGGAAAAAATTATGCGGCATTATATCATCGATCGCGAAGTGTACCTTGCACCTGGTGTCAAAACTCGACTAATTAGATTAATGGCAACTGAGCATATTCACGCATAATTGTTCTGGATCCTGCCAAAGCAGCTGGCCGGCGATAATATTTATTGCCTTAGCGGTCGTTTCGATGAAAGCATTTATTTTTCCGCCCACTATCTAATACTGAATGATCCATAAATCATGAATAAAAAGTCATAAACATAAATCAGAAGTAAAAATCCCGTTCGCGCGCTTGTGAAAGGAAAACCTTCCTATTTATACAACAATAGGGTATACACACTAGATAATGTGTAAATTTGTAAGTATATTGTCATTGAAAAGGATCAGGTGTCTGTAAACTTCAGAGACGTGTGAGGTTTTTTAGAATTCTATTTGTAGTCTTAATCGCGAAACATTTTGTGCTTATTCTGAACTAAAACAAGATATCATTGAGATATTTACGGCGACCGCAATGCTGATGACTGCGAACTTGTTTAAGCAAGAGAAAAATAGAAACACAAAAATACTGAGGGGGAAAAAATTCATGTAATCCAGTCGCGTTTTCTGAAAGAATAATAAATTCCAGTTGGAAAATTTTTGCAGGTTTAAATCAGAATTTATGAAAACTTTAGAAATATATGAGTTTTTGGAATATTATTTATTCCAGATTTTAATTTAAATATTATTTTTGAGATAATTCTCACCTAAGGATAATCTCGATTCAGAGAACCAGAGAAAATTAGAAAAATGCAAATTCCAAAATAAAAAGTATATTTTTAATTATAAGCAATATGAATCTACTGTTTTTCTTTCGTTATTATTATAAAATCGAAATCCATTTATTATACCTGAGTAAGAACATTTATTTCTTAATAGGAAAAAATAAATTGATGTTCCAATTTTGACATCCCGTGGATTTTACGTTGGAAATAAGCTTGTTTCCAATTCATCGAACTTGGGAAACGTTGTCAAAGTTCGCGTAACAAAAGAAAAAGACCAAGAAAGACAGAGAGAAGAGGGAAGAGAATACGATCACGCGATACGCAAGCGAATTCGTAGGCGTCCGATTGTCAACAGGTGATAGCATTGGACCAGCTCTTAGAGAGCTCGAGTAACGAGAGAAAGGGGAGATTGTGTGTGCGAGACGATGAGGAAGGTCGGAAGGAGGAAAAGAGAAAGGTGGGAGGAGAAGGGGCGAGATCGAGCGAAAATCAGGGGGTGGTTGTGACAGTAGGGAGAGAACAGTGGGTTCCCGCGGAAGGGTAGCCAACAAAGTCTTTATCGTTTCGAGGACCGATTACAAAGCTCGATTGTTACCATTCTTCGGAATCCAAATAATCTCTCGCTCGTCCGAACCACAGACGAGCAGCCACCCAGCCGTTGGAATAGAAATTTACAGCCGTAGCTTTTTTTTTATTTTTACGCGGCACCGCCATTAGCCCCCGTCACAACGAGCCATTAGAAATCGTCGACTTTCTTTTCTTTCTTCCTTTTTTTCGATGACAGACAGAGAACCGATATAAAACTTTTTACTACCGCTACTCGCGCGATCGCGATATTTGTCATTCATTTAAGTGTGCCATAAATTAGATATCGATGCGAAATTATATTTACGTTATCTTCCTGTTAGCAGCAATTATGTGTATATATGACAAAATATATATATATAAAATTTATTTATAGTTCACTGGAAAAAATTAAATTTTTTTGAATATATATTTAATTTTCTTTAGTGAAATATAAA